TAGTTACTAAGATCTATATGGTTTTTAATTTTTAGGCTGTTAATTTGACTGTGACATTAGTGAGTGAAGGGTTATATGTACAACAGAGTATGGAAAGGAGCAGGAGTACTGGGATACAGGGTGCAATTCCAAACAGGGTTGTTACTGAGATGATGACATTTGATAAAAGCCTGAGGTGTGAGAATGAATTATATGGACCTTGAGAAGAAGATTCTAGCCCCAAGGAACACCAAGTGTGAAATTCTGGGCTTAGAGGATGTTTAATTTGTTGGAGAAACAGTTGAGTTTAATGTTACTAATGGAGAATAAGTGGAGGAAGCCATTATAAGAAATGAGTTCAGAGAGAATGATACAGACAATTGAAGTCACTATTGAGGATTTGTACTGAATGAGAGCAGAAGTCATCAGAGGGTTATGAGTAAAAGATAACATGATTTGATTTATATTTTACAAAGGACACCTGGATGCATATTGAAGGAGGAAGCAGGGAAACTACAGAGGAGGGTGTTGTGATAGCAAATGTGATAAATTATGATAGCAATGGCTGGTGACCAGTGATCAGATTCTAGATATATATTGGCAGTTTCACTAGTGGGATTTGCTGTTGTTTGAACTTATGTTCTGAGAGAAAACTGTGAAATCAAGTAGGGTTTGAATTTTTTAACTCACGTAATGGAAAAAGGTGGAGACATCACCAGTGGACACAGTTATGTTTTTCTTTGGTGATGTTTGATTAGGTGCAAGCAGAAAGGAAGTGTGATAAGAGTTAGCTGTAACTAACATTGACCTATTGTCATGGGAATGTAGTAAAGCAAGAGTAGCCCTAGGGAGTGGACTAGACAATTTAACATGGATAAGTAAAAAGGTGAAGCTGTGACATTGGTGGGAATGGATATAGGAAGGCAGAGATAACATCATGGAAAAGAAGAGATGAGTTTAGAAGTCACTGGTGGTATCTTATTAGATGAGATTACAGAGAGGAGATTTGAGGAATAATTGAAGGAAATGGTCTGGAAGTGGCAAAGAGAAAACCCATAGTCTCAAGTGGTATGAAAGAGGAAAAAAAATAGAAGCATTATCCTCAGGAGATAGAGGATAGAAGATTGACATATTTAAAAGGGAAGCTGGTGTTAGGTTTTGCTGATAATTGACCATAAATTCTAGATGATCTAATAGTTTGAGAGATTGGATAATCGGGGAGGTAAATCAATTAGGGAGATGTGGAAAGCTTGTTTGTTTTGAGAAATGAAATTTTGGAGCATGGGTTTTCATGATGATAGTTGTATGTTTGATCCTCTTTTCACCTAATTCTGTGAATGCTGAGATAAAGTCATGTTGCCGTGAAATATCAATTATCACAGAATTGTGCAGTGTAAGAACTGCAATAAAAGTACTGAGAACATTCCGGTTCCAGTGAATCGCATAGGTTGAGTCTCAAAATGTAAGGTAGTCCAGTGTGTTCATGAAAGTAGAAGACTGGGTTTTGAGGGATATGTGCAGGTGGCCAAGATCATTAGTTTTAGCACTGGTTTACAGGTTTTTAGGTATATCTGAGAGTTTAAAAAAGAGTCAGACCACACCTCAGGCATGTAGGCATCACTATATTAAAATACTGCTCAAGTTGATTCCAATGGGCAGCCAAGGTTGAGGGCCATTCTGGTTCAGTATCTCTTAATCCTATGGTATTCAAATCACTGGAACTATCTATAATGTCATCATTGCTGATTTTCTCTTCAGTTTTTATCTGCTTGAACTGTCACAGAGACTCATTTTTCAATGACTTTGCCTATTATATAAATAGTTACAGAATGTCACATTCATCAATTACGAGGAATTCTGCATCTGTGGAAGATTGTTAATGCCACTTTGTGCTCCTTTTCACTTATATATTATTGTTCTATTGCTTGTTTTAACCCTGTTTGAAACCACAATGAAGTAACAAAGATGTTGGTCCCATGAATGGGAAAAGACGTAGGATGTTTTAATTTTACAGCTTCTTTGGTTTTCATCCCCAAATTTTTTGTATGGGGATTTGTAAATGGAAAGACATATTTTCTGTGATGTGTATTATTTCTTAACAGTATTTATCACTTATGCATGTAATTGGTATCATGGAATATTTAAAAGTTTTCTTACTATCATAGTTAATGTTTTAATCAGTAAAATAATAGGCACTTTTTGTGCTGTCAAGGCAGAGTTTATACTGGACAAGATTAAACAGACAAAACAATGTTATCACAAATAACAGACATAAACTCTTAATGTTACCACAATAAGAGAGAAAATAATGGTCTAAATTGAAGTCTGCTGAAACAAAGGGTGGAGAATATTTAAGTGCTGGGATGAGAGGAAGATCAGAGCCCTTCAGGGTTTGGTAATAGACTTCATCCCTCTTTCAAAATAAATTTCCTTTTAAGTTTGTGACAAAAAATAGTTTTGTAATTTTCAGCAGCGCTCCACCCGGCAGAAGCTAGTCTCCTCCCCTGCCATAAAAACTAGGAGATAGCAGTAGCATCTCTGTTTATTTTTGAAAGACAGTTTCCTGGTCCTCGAGAAAGGCAGTCTTAGGTTATAAAATTGGCGAGCTTTTAAAAAGATTTACATCTTAAAGGGCAAAGAAAATACTTATATTGTAAATTTCCTACACAGATGCTATAAGAAAAGGGCCTCCAATCGGGATGATGCATGGCTGTGTCTCACTCAAGCTGAGGGGAACATGGGAGATCACTTTTGTTAACACACATTTCTCATTATTTCTTTAGTAGGAATTGTGAACTGCTTTGTAGTGTGAGAATGTTTTAAAAATGGTTGATTCATATTGGAAAATTGCCTCCAGTATTGTTTTTTAAAAATGTATACTTGTACAAGTAGGCTATGAGGGTTTGTTTCCATTTTTCTATGTGTGAGCTAATATTAAATTGTTAAAAGAGACAATTTCCAGCTTTTGTTTTTATTTGGACCAATTTGTAAGTGAAGAATGGAAAATACACTTTCAATTGCCAATGTGGTTAAACTTTAAAAGTGTTTATTACCCCTTTATAGTTCCTCTTTTGGGAATTACCACTTTATGAAGCTTAAAATTTTTTCTTGTTTACTGTTCATATTATTTTTATTAAAAAGTGCAATGTTAGGTTCAAAACTGGGACAAACTCCATATAATGTACTAACAGCCGAGAAAACTGGGACTTTTCCCTGAAAAATCTATGCCATTTTCCACCAAATTACTTAATTTTGAATGAGAACAACTGGAGTAAAACATTGTGAAGCTAGGGTGATAATATTTTCTTAGTTTTGACTTTACTTACAGCAGAGATGTTGCAGTGGTTTTAGTAAAATATTAGACTCTGATGTTTGTCTTGCTCACGGAAAATCACTCTGTTGGAGAGATAAAAGGAGAGTAAACATATTACAAAATACATGTGATGATAGTCAAAACTATAGGAAGCAAACATACACTTGCCTCCATGCGTTGTCACACTCTTGGCCAGCAGTGACTGCCACACACAGAGCCGCACAAGAGATGCGTGATCTTACCTGTTCTAACTCGTTCTGTTGAATCTTCTCAGTTGTAACACATCTATAGACACCTATTGTTAATATGCTTTGGCCTTTGAAGAGCCTCAATCTGTACGTGTTTATTGCAGTGTCAAAGCTTCCACTTTTCAAGAGAGAACCGTACATCAGTGCAGAAATGAAGTGTATTGAAATGAGGTACTTCTGGGAGCCCCACATTGAAAGCAATAATAAACTGCATACTAGAACAATATCATATTATTATTAGAATATTATTCTTACATTTGATGTAGTCTACATCTCTTTTCTATATTTATTATTTTTATACCCTCTTTTCACATAATAAATTGATTGGTTACCTGCTATAAAACAGGCACTGTTCTATGGGGATAAAATGCTGAAATAAAGATTTCAAACTTAAACAGAAATCAGTGATGCAAGAATATAATTTCACTGCTGTGTATTGAAACAGCCCTTGGCGTAGGTACAAACAGTATGGAATGAGTAAGGGGAGGGAAGAGAAGTAAGATTTATTGAGTGTCTTCTTTTTGCCAAACTTTGCGAGAAGCCCAGTGTCATTTAAATAAGGACCACTATTGACTCAAAGACTTGTGACAAAAATTGTTTGATATTTAATTTTGTCTCCTCAAAATTTACCATATGATCCAGTGCATAGCTGGTATTGTATCATTTTTAATTGAGTGAAAACGGATAGAAATTAGGAAAGCAAAGGTTTTTCAACTCATTTTAAAAGTTGCGTATAATATGTAGGCATTTTTTTTATGTTCTAAATTTCTCAACACAGTATGTAAGTCTTCCTAATTTTGTGGATACCAAAAAATATCAGTTAAATTACATTACTGTTCTCTAATAAATGCTAATTATCAAAATGAAGATTTTAAGTCACCAATAAAGAACACAAACTGACATTTAATGATTTTATAACATGGCTGAGAATAATTGAAACATTATATATATTAATTGTGAAAATTTGCTTATTGTAGATATAGCTATCCAGTTTTAGGAGTGCTTATTTTTGAAAGAGGAGGATTAACCTTTGAAAAAATCACTTGGTTCTCCAGTTAGAACCAATGAAAAGGACACTATACCCTTTCAGAGTCTCAGTAGAGCTAATTAAGAATGAATTATGGATTTTTTCTGATGAACTGTTGGTTAGTTGAGAGACTGTATCTAACAAATGTGGTTCAACCCTAAGAAAGTAAAATAAAATTTTAATGATAATTGTATGTAATATAAATGTAGGAGATTATATATGTGTTATAAATAAATACACATAAATAACACACAGACTATATGTGTACAACGTGTAAATACACTGATATGTTCTTTAGAGTTTCAAATCTGATCTACCCCAAACCATTATTCTGTTATGCATTGAAAAGCTATACATGCACATCATTTCACTGTTTTCCTCGTATTGCTTTATTGAAATTTGTATTTCACAAATATTCCTTAATGGCATAAGATTATTAACTGAAAATATAGCAAAACTCTGATCCTCATACTTCAGTGAAATAGCTCTTCATATAATTTCCTTTCTACGTCATATTTCTGTCTTTTGAAGACTTGAAGGGAGAGAAGGAGGGAAAAAGAGAAAGGACTAACACTGATTGTCTTTTATTAACATTTATATGGGTACAATTACATAATGATATACTGTTTTAAATCAGTTGCCTGAGGGTTCCCAAATTCTTGAGGTTACTATTACATTAAAGGTAAGTAAAATGTATGTTCATTTCTATACCAAATGTTATAAAAATTTAGCCTTTCTCCACATTGTTTATAGAAGTACTTCAGATCTGTATTTTCTCTAATCATTCCTGGACCTGATACCATGTTTCCACCGAATTCTCAGTCTTCTGGTATGTTTTTTATATTTTTCGATAATATATTTTTCAGTATATTTTCTGATTCTTTGAATCAGTCACAATCCAGTGTTTTTGAATTAGCACAAGCTTTTTAAACCAGTATTGGTAGTTAAGCACAGAAATCAATAACAAATCGAGTACTAAAATTTCTGTATTACTATTAGAATATCATTCTTAACAGTGTCTCAGGCATTCCCAATCTTGAGGTTTCTCACAAGCTGTTTTTGGTTTTTTCAGACATTGATGTTCTCATCTTATCTTTCATGAGAGTTGTAGAGATTCATAATCCATACTTAGTAAACACTGAGCCTCCTTCATCACTCCTAGCTTTCCTTTCTCTAATTTGTTTCTCCAGACCTTATTGTATATGAAATTATGTTCCCTGTTTCTCTTGTTTCAGCAAAGACCAGGGCCTTTTGCACTAAAACAGCCTATAGTGTTATGCTTTTGTGTAGTTACCCACCCTGATAAAAATTACAAACTTCTCTTAGGCACATTGTTTTCTTTCAGCCCTGCATAAAGAATTGCAGGAGTACTCCCCCTCTGCCCTGACTATGTAAGAAAACTGAATTTTAAAATAATCCTTTATATTTTATTTTTAAATTTATTTTGGTCCCTATTTCAAAAATAGGTACTTAGAAAGTGCCACCTAAGGATATCAGTAGTATACAGAACTCGGCTGTCTCTCAAAACCAGTGGTCAGGGAGCTCACCAATTTCTATTAAAAAATGGCTTGGAAAATTAATAGTTGTGAGCAATGTGCTGCCAATGCATTCATTTAAAAACATCTCTTGCATTTGTCAAATCCAATTGTCTATAGCTCGTTCCCAACCAAAATAAAGAAAACCACCCAAATTAAAACAAATAGAGGCTACTTAATCAGTCTGTTACAGTAGGCACCACTCACCATCACCTGTGCTTGGCAGAGACTCAAGTAGATGAGGAAGTTGAAAATTGTATAGTAAAACCCAAAGTATAGATAATTTAAAGAACAAGATAAATGATATATAATAAAAAACAGGGAGATAGACTTTGTGGAGATGGAAGGAAATCTGAGGATAAGGAGGGATGAGTGAGAGGGAAGGAGAAGGTGAAGTATAAAGGATCGGGGTGTGATATGTACATATTGCAAGCTTACACTAAAAAATTTAATAAAGGAAAAATTTGGTAAGACTTCAGTTTTGTTCTAGGTGGAGATTGTTGGAATGCAGTACCTGGAGGTAGGCTTCTTAGGATAGGGAGCATCTTTTGTGTTTGGATGGGGGCATGATTGACTTTTCCTTATTGTTCCTTGATTAGAAACTGTGAGGAAACTCAGGGAAGCTGGCTATGACTAATCAACTCCTGGCCCTTCTGACTGTCAAGTTATACATCAAAGTTCTGTTGTCATACCTGATCTCTTACCTAAGCATTACCACTCTATTAATAAACAAACTATTTCTTGTATGAACAAGAGAGAACTCTACAAAATCTTTATAGTTTCTTGGGTGGGGACATAGAAGTTAGATTTTTTTTGAGAATTGGAAGTTTGATTTAAGATAAAAATTTCAAAGTGGAGAGATTTGGTTAGAATTGGGTAAGGATAAAAATACAATGGTATAGTATGGGCTAAAACAGGATAAGGATTTTAAGGTAAGTGATTTAATTGCTTTTTGTTCTTTGCCATTGAGATCTTTAGGGAAGTTGGTATAATGAATAATCAAACCATGTAATTGGACTCCTGGAAAAAATGTCATACAATTGAAGACAAAAGAAGAACAAATCTAAAGAGAGATATGTTTTGGTTCGCAGTGTACAGGCTGAGTGTTAGAGTAGATAAAATTGTTATTCTGTAGAAAATAGTCTATGTTTTTCTTTAGATGCCAGTGTCCTGTTCTGAGGCATAAGTAATACTGTATATGAAGTAGAAATGTTAAATTCATAATCACATATGCACAAAGAAATTTGTCAGAATTCTGCATCACAAATACATTCCACTTCCTGGTAATATTCTCTGCAAATACTGTATGTTTCAATGTACTATTACATGGAATAAAGAATCCCTATATTATTTGGAACATGACCTTGTTTGACCTTGAGGACTGTTGGAGGGGCACTTTTTGGGAAGAAATCAAGCCTAAAAGTTTGACATGAGCTGAAGTGCTGAAATGTGCAACATGTACTGGAATTTCTTCTCTAGCTGGTACCGAAGGACTGAAAGCTTATGAAGAGACACTATTGAGGAGGAGCAGTGCTCCAACGAGTGTTGGCAATGCATATATTGTCCTCTCGGAGGAGAAAGAGTAGGTGGCTCCAGAATGTTTATAGAGATTTTTCGTGAAGTCATTTATGCATAGTAAACATGCACTCTCTACTACTGTGTTTTCAATTAAGACGAGGGTGTGTAACCAGGAAAATAATAACTTGGGACCTACTACTGTTGAATGGAAGTTTTCTACAGAGGTAGTAATTATTCCAAACATGAAATTTCTCTAATGATAAACTGAGGTGTGCAAATTCAAAACTAAAGGATTCCCAAGCAAACAGAAAATTGTCTTAGCAGTGATTTTTAGATCACCTATATATCCCAGAACACATTTTTCCTAGGGCTATGACTTCATACTCTTTAACCATATTCATGTTTTTTCCCCTAGAAAATGCCTTAAGCTCCTTACGTTAATTATTCCATATAGTTGCCTGAGCTCTGCTTGAAAGATATGTATGCTGAGTCACAAAATAAGACCTGTCTTACCTATTCCCTAGATCAGGACACATCTATCTTTTCCAGTTGAGTGAATGGTGTATTACTCAAAAAACATGCAGGAAACATTAACATTGTTCCAAATTTACTTAGTTATGTACAAAGTTGGAGTAACTGGTTGCTTCTCTTGCTTAAAAAACATAAGTTGTTCAATTAGCAAACAAGGATCTGGCAGGGATACCCACACACTATGACACAGCTAAGTGACTAAACAGTGTTGACAAACTGAATAT